ATCCTTCCAGGTGTACTTAAAGGGTCTTATCCTCAGCAAGTTTTATTCTCCTGAACTATAATTAGGTGACCTTTTCCCATTCTGAAAATAATTGGATCAGATACATTTTAAGTCCAGGAGGAATTTGTTTTCTTTGCTGTTTCTAACTTTCTTCTTTTATTTACTCGATCTCAGTCATATCCAGAACATATTTAAAGTCTGTGCTAACAGTAAAGGTTCCATTAGTATCCGGCACTTTTCCTTGACTTTATGTCCCTCCACATTTTATGGGCTTCACCTTGTACTGCTGCAATAGTAGTGACAGACTGAACGTGTGTGGTACGCCTATGCTAAGGCCTGATGTGTATAATACTCTTAAACCTGTGAGGTATTCCTTTGTGCAGAAAGGAAGCTGCTTAAAAAAGGGCACTCATTCTAGGTCACAAAGTCATTGCAGAGCTAGAGTTGCAGATTGCACATCAGGCCACACTGGCCCAGGGCTGCATGTTTTTATAAATTTCTTTCTGTGAGTTTACTGGTTTTCTTAATTTTTCAAAATTTTAATAGTGACTGAATTTTATCAGATTTTAATTATTTTTATTGATATTAAGATTTAGGTTCAAAGCACTTATAACTTTAAAAAAATAGTCAGGAATTTTAAAAATGTTAAAACCTTAAACTGCTCTTCTGATCCTCATGTAATGCAGATAGTGCATTTTTTTCAGTCAGGTGTCTGAGAGATGCAGAAATCAACAAAATCTGGTCTTTCCCTTGGGGGACAAGAAATCTGGGGAAGCCAGGGCAAAAATAAAGGTTTCAGCCATAAACATTTTCATTAACAGCCATTTCAAATCAATCCCACCTCCGCCAGGACCCTCCCAGCCTCCCCCGCCCGGGAGAGGCAGAGGCCCCGGAGTCTCACTGCAACCTGTGCCGCCCTGGGTTGAGCACCGGGTCTTGCAGTACCCGGACCTCTCAGCTTCAGCTTCTCAAGAGCAGGCCTTGCCCTTCGCCCCTCCTCTGTGCTCCCTAGGTGTGCAGTGGTAAGAGCACAGGTTTCAGAGTCAGATTTGGTTCCGGTCTCAGTTCTGGTGATTTCTAGTTGTGCTAGTTAAGTCACTGAACTTCTCAGTGTTTCATCTTCCTTAGCTCAGGCTGCTTTTAGGCAGTTTTTAACAGGAGATTGGGGATTAGAACTGTATTGTAGAAGATGGATAGAATTTGGATCAGCAAACAACCCTTTGCTTAGCCAGGAGGAATATGACTAGAAGCATTTAAACCGGCCATCACTAGTAAATAAACTCTACTTCTGAATTTTCTCACCAGGGTTAGAATTGGTTTGACCTGTTGGTGAGTCCCTGATGGGCCATTTAGAAACTGTTAGCCCCTTGAGCAGATGATTTCATCTCAGACTTGGCTTCCTAGTTTCTGTAACAGAAGAGATGCTTAACTTGCAGGGCTGTGGTGAATCCAGAGTAGTGTGTGTGTGTGTGTGTGTGTGTGTGTGTGTGTGTGTGTGTGTGGAGTACTTACACTTTTCAGTTCAGTCTCATGTGGTCCCACCCTACTTCGACCCTTTACGTACTCCAGATTTTAAAGGTAAATTATGGCCGAAACCAGTTTGGCTCAGTGGATAGAGCATCAGCCTTTGGACTGAAGGGTCCCAGGTTCGATTCCGGTCGAGGGCATGTACTTTGGTTGCTGGCACATCCACAGTAGGGGGCGTTCAAGAGACAGCTGATCGATGACTCTCTCATCGATGTTTCTCTCTATCTCCCTTCCTCTCTGTAAAAAATCAATAAAATATATTTTAAAATAAGTTTTAAAAAAAAGTGAATTATGGATGTATATCGGATAAATTAATCAGCTATTTTAATAAGCTAGATAGTAAATTGTGGCGGCATTAATTTTTTAAATGTCATCATGGTACTTACCATGTGTGTGTCATACTGTTTGAGTGTGGGCCTGCTTTGTTTTTCTTTTCCCAGATGGTACATTACTTACGGTCATGAACTCATTTGGAAGAACAGGGAGCCTCTGGTGAAAATTTGGCATGAAATGAGGACTAATGGCCCCAAAAAAGGAGGTGGCTCTAAGTAAACGGATCGGACGACACTGGTGCATCTGGTCCTCGCTGCCTGGAGGCCCCGGAACGCATCGGCCTGGCGTGACCATGTCTTCGCTCCTGCCTGGGAGACACCCGGCTTCCGCTTTCCCAGAATTTTAAACTGTGTCCTCAGTACCTGTCTTACCAGAAAGTGAACTGTGACAATGTTATGAAATAAAGGTTTATACTCTAGTTTGTAAACAGAGGCTGGGCGTCTCTTTGGAAGAGCAGTCATGTTGCCCTGGAATCCTGTTATGTCGGATGTAGGTTGAGCTGTGAGCCCAGCAGGGCGCACAGGGAAAGACCTGATGGAGACTTGGAGGGGAGTCTGGAATGGCTCCCAGGTTTGCACACTGGCCTTTGCACATCTCTGCCCAGCCTTTACTCCTCCCTGCCTGCCCTTTCCTGTAAGAGCATCTTCTCTCTGACATGGTCTGAAACAACAGCTGCTCTTTTTATAAAGTTCCCCAAGAGTTAGTTTCCTGGCAGTCAGTGGCATACACAAAAAGCTCTTTTTAGGCTTTTGCTTTCTTGGTTAACATTGAAACTTGGGAGATTTAAAGGAAGTATCTTGATAAATTTAGACTAGAGCCTGAGCCTAATTGCATCTTACCTTTGAAAAGTTACATTATTTGAATTTAAGCCTTTTACTGAAATACCAGACAGTGGGCATTGTAGTAGCTTCATTTTTGTGGAACTAACTTGCCCTTATGATTGAGAGTTATTTCTAGGAAATGCAATTTGAGAATTTAAGTTTTTCTTGAGTAGATTTATAGAAGAGGTTTTTTTTTTGTTTGTTTTTAATTTATTGATTTTATACAGAGAGGAAGGGAGAGAGACAGGGAGTCAGAAACATCGATGAGAGAGAGTCATCGATCAGCCGCCTCCTGCACACCCCCCACCGGGGATATGCCCGCAGCCAAGGCACACACCCTTGACCGGAATTGAACCCAGGTCCCTTCAGTCCCCAAGCCGACGCTCTATCCATTGAGCCAAACCGGTCCCGGCGAGAGTTTGTTTTTTTAAAACATATTCTTATTGATTTCAGAGAGGAAGGGAAAGAAACATCAACTATGAGAGAATCATTGGCTGCTTCCTGTTGGGGATCGAGTGGGCAACCTGGGCATCTGCCCGACTGGGAATCAAACCGGGACCTCCTTGTTCATAGGTCAGTGTTCAACTTCTGACCACACCAGCCGGGCAGGACTAAATATTTCAGTCACCAAACCTAGATGGCTAATTCCTGGTCCATGGAGGCCACACAGACAGCTGCTCCACTGGTGGACACAGTATGCCCCTCTCCTGGGCCATGGCCCCGCCAGGGCAGCCCTCACATCCCTTTGCTGTGACTCCAAGCTAAGACGGGCAGAGAAACCCTACTGTGAGGGCTGGGCTGTGCTGCACTTCTCTCTGAGTGCGACACCTTGGATACCATCCAAGAATGTGCTTGGGATGCAGTGAGGGATACTGCTGTAATTGCTCTGCTGTGGGCACAGGCCAGGTGTCAGATATTCAGGAGACCTTTGCTCTAGCTAGTTTTGCTCAGTGGATAGAGCATTGGCCTGCGGACCAAGGAGTCCCAGGTTTGATTCTGGGCAAGGGCACATGCCTGGGTTGCGGGTGGGCTTCATCCAACATGCAGGGGGCAGTCAGTCAATGATTCCTTCTAGACATTGATGTTTCTCTTTCTCTCCTTTCCTCTGAAATAAAAATATATTTAAAAGCATATTCAGGAATTCTTTGATTGTGGCCAGGGTGTTGTTTCTGATACTTGCATGCAGATGAGTTTTAGCCTGGAGGATTAGCCAAATTTAGCTTTGTAATAAAACAAGAACATAGAATGTAGACACAGGACTGAAGGGAATTTATAATTATTGTAATGACAAGAGCCTGGTGCATGAAATTCATGCGGGGGGGGGGGTGTCCCTCAGCCCAGCCTGCACCCTCTCCAATCTGGGACCCCTGCCTGCCTGATGGCCCCTAACCGCCTCTGCTTCAGCCCCCACCACCATAGCTTTGTCCAGAAGGATGTTCAGAAGGATGTCTGGTCTAATTAGCATATTACCCTTTTATTAGTATAGATTATCATAATTTACAATCATAATTATTGCAGGGTTCGCTTCTTACTGTACACGTTGTAAATGTCTATCCACGCTACTAGATGTCCTTATGTTTGTAGCATAGTGGCCAAAGATTTGTGGCAGTTTTATAAACTAGATAAAGCCTTCCACCCTGCTTCCAAATTAGAACGTGGGAAAGGTCAGGTGAGGGCTCATGCCAGTTCTCAATGAGAAGTGGATGGGTTGTCACATTCAGTACTGTGAAGGCCAATAGCTGGTGACTCACGGGCTGACTCATGCGTTTCCTCTGGGAAGCATAGCCCCAAGTTTTCCCGTGTCCCCTCTCCATGACTGCGAGTCCCCGAGGCGCAGCCTGGCGCCAGTGCGGCAGCCTCGCCGCGGACACGCGGTCCCCGCGACAAACGCGCGCTGAGCAGCGTGTCCGAGTGCGGGCGGAGGGCGACCCGCAGAGCCAGGCGTGGTTATAAGGAAACATTTAGGGAACTCTGGATCACATGCTGAAACACTCTAGTTTTAGTATATGCGCTGCCGAAGCGAGCACACGAATTACGAAACATCCTCAAAGTTGGACCTTTGTCAATGCCTCCCCCGTGACCCCCGCTGCGGCGCCCTTCCGGTCGGTCGCGCGGTCTTCCCGGGCTCGCACCCCGCTCCCGCCGTGCGCACCGGGTCCCCGCCCCACCTCCCGGGCTCACCCCGTCCGCCCCCCTCGCTCACGGCCATCCCACCCCCGGCCAGGCGGCGGCGCTGCGGCGCGGGGAGGCCGCGGGGGCGCGGAGCCGGGCGCGGCGGCTGCGGGGCGCGGGGACCGGCCGCCGGGGGCGCGGGGCGGCATGGCGTGGCCCTGCATCAGCCGCCTGTGCTGCCTGGCGCGGCGCTGGAACCAGCGGGACCGCTCGGACGTGGCGGTGCCGCTGACCCTGCACAGCTACTCGGACCTGGACAGCGAGGAGCCGGGCCCCGGCGCCGCCGCCCCGCGCACGGGCGCGCCCCCCGCGGGCGCCCGGGCCCCCGGCCGGGACGTGCCCCGCACGCAGTACCAGCGGGACTTCTGCGCGTGGCCCGCGCCCGCCGGGCCCCGGGCGGCGGCGCAGGGGCGCAGGCCGGGGGCGGCCGGCCGGAGGGGCGCCTCCCCCGCAGCCCCTGGGGGCCAGGGGGTCTACGTGCTCCCCATCGGGGACGCGGACGCGGCTGCGGCAGCCACCTCGTCGTACAGGTACGGGGCCGGGGGGAGGGAGTGCGTGGTGTCCGGACCCGGCGGGCGGGCGGAGGACACGGGTGGGCGGGGGAGAGGGGGCGCCTGGGACCCCCACCCCACAGGACTTGGAGACGGCGGGCGGCCTCGCAGATCATTCCCGTTGGCCCCTGGGCACGGCAGGGGCCCCCTTAGCTGCTCCCTGACCGGCCTCAGGGGGGGGGTGGGGGACACCTCCGCGGACGGAGAGCTCACCACCGCTCTGCCAGCCCCGCACCCATCCCGGCGGCGCCGCCAGAAAGCTGCGTCCCGTTCACTCGCACCAGGTGGGCCCGGCCTGGAAGGCGTGCGCGCAGGCGGACTGCCTGGGCCCCGCTGGCCGCGCCCTCGGGGGGTCGGGGGGTGTTGGGGGTGAGGCCCAAGCAGCGGGGCTGTTGGAAACACTGCCCCTGAGATCCAGCTACTTCGCGCCCAGGAATTGCCCCGTGCGGAGTGGAGCGAAGGAATAGGAGGTCCGCGCCCACACTGTACAGCCCGAGGTGGAAAGGGAAGCCCAGGAGGTACTGGTGACAGAAGCTCCTCAACTGGCCCAGGTCACACCAGCGAGATGCAAACAGCTGCCTGCCGCTCTGCTTTCAAAAGGGGTGTGGATGTGCAGGGATGACACAGGGTGTCTCTGACCGGTGGTGACCTGTGGGGAGAGGGCGGAGGGGGAGGAGGGAGGATGCTGCTAGGGAGGAGGGAGACCGACTTTTCACTGTACTCTGCCTCACACTGCTGCTTTAAAAAGAAAAACAAACAAAAAAACCTGCCCAGGGGTTACCTTTTAAAAGGAAACAATATTTTGTCTTGGCCGGTCAGCCGGCCGCGCACCGAAAGACCGAGGGTTTGATTCCAGGTCTAGGGAACATACCTCCGTTGCAGATTCGAACCTTCCTCAGTCGGGGCGGTGAGGGATGCAACCAACCGATGTGCCTCTCTCACATGGATGTTTCAGACCCTCCCCATAACCCAACTCCCTCCCACTCTCTCTAAAAAAATCAATGGAAAAAAATATCCTCTGGTGAGGAGTAACCAAAAATAAATAAAATAAAATTTTAGAGAGAAAAAACACTTCTAAGTATCCTTACAGCTAAATCTTCGCTTCTATGATAATGTCTTTAGTATAAATTCCTACTTGTGGAATTAAAGGAGCAAAGTTATAAACTTTTCACATCAGTTTTATTTTCAAATCAACTTTTTTTTTTTTTTTAAATAATCCTCACCTGAGGATATTTTTTCATTGATTACTTCTAGAGAGAGTAGGAGAGAGAGGGAAAGACAGAAATATCCATGTGAGAGAAACCTGTTGATTGGTTGCCTCCTGCAGGAGCCCTGACCAGGGCCCAGGCCGGGGAGGAGCCTGCAGCCGAACTACGTGCCCTTGACTGGAATCAAACCCGGGACCTTTCGGCCCAAAGGCCGATGCTCTGTCTACTGAGCCAAACTAGCTAGGGCTCAAATCAACTGAGGCATCATTTCCAGAGTAAAATACATCCACTGTCAGTGGGTAACTTTGTAGAAGCCTGGGCACCACCAGCATTATCAAGACCTGTAGAATGCTCCGCCTCCTTCACGGCCTGTAGTTTTTTTGTTTGTTTTTTTAAAAATATTTTATTGACTTTTGCCGAAACCGGTTTGGCTCAGTGGTAGAGCGTCGGTCTGCGGACTGAAAGGTCCCAGGTTCGATTCCGGTCAAGGGCATGTACATTGGTTGCGGGCACATCCCCGGTAGGGGGTGTGCAAGAGGCAGCTGATCAATGTTTCTCTCTCATCGATGTTTCTAGCTCTCTCTCTCCCTTCCTCTCTGTAAAAAATCAGTAAAATATATTTTTTTTAAAATAAAATATTTTATTGACTTTTTACAGAGAGGAAGGGAGAGGAATAGAGTTAAAAACATTGATGAGAGAGAAACACCGATCAGCTGCCGCCTGCACACCCCCCACTGAGGATGTGCACAAAACCAAGGTACATGCCCTTGACCGGAATCGAACCTGGGACCCTTCAGTCCACAGATCAACACTCTATCCACTGGGCCAAACCGGTTTTGGCAAGGCCTGTAGTTTTTTTTTTTATTTTTTTTTTATTTTTATTTATTTATTTTTTTTCTATGTTCGTGTTTACTTTTTTTTTTTAATACATTTTTTTTTAAATCAATCTTTATTGTTCATATTATTACAAAGGTTCCTCATTTCTTCCTCCCTCCACCAGGTTCCCACCCCACCCTGTGCCCCCTCCCCATCCCCCATTGTCCTCATCCATAGGTGCAGTTTATGTTCAGTCTCTTCTTCCCTCAATTTCCCCAATAGTAAATCCCTTTTCAGATAGTAAATCAGTTACTTAGCATTTTCTCATATCAATAATACCTCCACATGCCCAATGATACACTTCACACAAAAGACATTTCCCAATAGGTCCACCAGCCTCATCCAGGCCCCACCCAAGGCACTCACAGATCAACACCCCAGTCCTAAACTAACTCAACACATCCAGATCTAAGCCTTCATCACTTGATTCAGCAGACCCTCAAGTTCCCACGAAAGTTTCCAGCCATGTCTGAGAAGCAGCCGTGGGGCAGGGGCAGGCGAGGAGCGAGCTGTTCTGGGCCTGGCTGCTCAGGGCCTGGCCTCTGTTGCTCTGGTTCATTCCACAACCAGCTGCTCCGGGTCTGGTCACTGCTGCTCCCGACCTAGTTGCTCTGGACTTGGCTGCTGCTGCTCTGGGCCTGGCCGCTCCCACCTGGCAGCCGCTGCTCCGGGCCTGGCCGCACCCGACCCGCCTGCTCCCCCGGGCCTGGCCGCTCCCAGCCTGGCAGCCGCTGCTCCGGGCCTGGCCGCACCCGACCCGCCTGCTCCCCCGGGCCTGGCCGCTCCCAGCCTGGCAGCCGCTGCTCCGGGCCTGGCTGCACCCGACCCGCCTGCTCCCCCGGGCCTGGCCGCTCCCAGCCTGGCAGCCGCTGCTCCGGGCCTGGCCGCACCTGACCCGGCTGCTCTGGGCCCGGCTGCCCCGGGCCCGGCCGCTCCGAGCCTGGCCACTCCCGACCTGGATGCTCTGGGCTTGGCTACTGCTGTTCTGGGACTGGCTGCTCCCACCCCGGCTGCTCTGGGCCCGGCTTCTCCGGGCCCGGCCACTCCGGGTCTGGGTGTTCCTGGACTGGCCACCCTGGGCTTGGCCGCCTCCGCCTCAGGCCTGGCTGCCACTGCCCCAGGTCTGGCTGCTCCAGTGCTGGCTGTTGATGCTCTGGTTCTGGCTGCTGCTGCTCTGGGGCCTGGCCGTTGCTGCTCCGGGTCTGGCTGCCACTGCCTTGTGCCTGGCCACTCTAGGCCTGGCCGCCGCTGTTCCAACATTCTGTCCTTTTTTTTTTCTTTTTTCTTTTTAAAACGCATTTATGTTGCAATGTTGGCTGGTGAGTTGAGTTCTGACTTAGTCTTTGATTTTTCAAGATCTTCTTTGTATTCTTTCTTAAGTAATTTTACTATTTTTTGCTCTCACTTGATTTCTTCACATTGAGAACTTCTTTGGTTTCTTCCTCCTTGTCCTGGGAGCTCAGCAGGTTGGCCTGTGGCACCCCTTTGTTCTCCGCGGGCTCCTGCGCTGCTTCAGCCTGTTGCCGGGGACGGCGCTGCCCAGGAAGCAGCCCCCGGCCTTGGCTCCATTGCCCGAGCTCAGTGGTCAAAGGCTCAGGGGCACCCACGCCCCCAGGGGTCCCGTGGCCCGCCTCCTTGCTGGTGCCCGGTTGGCTGGAGTCCGGCAGGGGCTTCCGCTCCCCTCCATGTTCCCCCAGCCTAGAGCTTTTTTTTTTTCTCCTTCCCGCTAGAGAAATCCAGCATCAGAGTCAACAGACTGTCCTCTGCGCGCAGTTTGCGCGAGTCCCGGGGGCCCGGCCTTTCGCCGCTCTCCCCAGACTCCACCTCACAGCCCTGTCTCCCTCTGCCTGAGCCTGGGTCCCCAGGGATTGGCCCAGAACTGGGGTTCGGAGCAGTCCGGACTGAGGCCCAGCGCCGCCGGAGGCCTTGTTTCTTCCGGCTAGGGCAACCCAGCATCAGAGTCAACATTCGGTCCTCTGCGCGCGCATTGCGCGCGACTCCCGGGGCCCTGCCTTTCGCCGTTTTTCCGCCTCACGGCCCCGTCTCCTCCCACCGGAGCCTGGGTCCCCAGGGTCTGGCCCATAACTGGGGCTCAGCGCTGCCGGTTCGGGGGGGCTCAGCGCTGCCGGTTCGGGGGTTCAGCCCAGGCTGGGGGTTTTATTTCCTTCCTGCTAGGGAAGGAAAGGCGGCTCCCCGCCCTCTCCTCCTCTCCGGCTGCGACCTCTCCGTGCGCGCAGCATGTCTCCGTACCTTAGGCTTTTTTTCAGCTCCTCTGATTTTCCTTCTGGTTTTCTCTTTCCTTCTTGTTGTAGAAATTTCAGTCAGTCAACTACCTGTAGCTCTGGGCAATGTCCACTCTACATTTTAGTTGTATTCCATTGAAATTGTTGTGTGCTGCCGCGGCTAGATGTCTACCCGAGCAGCCATCTTGGATCCTCCTCAAGGCCTGTAGTTTTTAAGAACTCCATGGGGAGCGATAGAGGGTGGTGTGTTCATGGACCCTGTTCTGGGCGTGTGGGGATGTTGGGGCCGGGAAGGAGGTGGTTGGTTCTGACTTCTGCCCTCGGTGGAGCCTGGTGGAGGCCTGGAAGGGCAGCGGTCCTGCGTGTGCAGCGCCTTCGTGGGGCTGATGTTCTGGGGCTCAGGAGCAGGACGGGGTTGCCGGCGGGAGCAGCTTCGGCTCAGGCAGTGCACTTTGAGTCAGACTGTCAGGGGCGGCTGCTCGTGTGGTGCTGGCTCCTCCTCCATGGTGAGCAGATGGCGGATCTGAACGTCCTGCTGGGCCCTCCCTGCTCCAGTGACACGTACAGCATAGCTGTCACTCTGTGTAGCACGCACTGGGCACCAGGCTCAGGACTTCCTCTGGTTATCGCCCCAGACCTCACAGGAACCCTCTGGAATCAGTGTCGGTCTTGTCCCCATTCTACAGATGAGCCTGAGCGGCCGGCACCAGGCCCAGGAGGAGGCAGTAGGGTCCCGTGTGTCTCCGAGACCGAATGTGTCCTCACAGGCTATTCCTGAGTCCTGGAGCGGTGGCCCACTTCCTGGTGTGCAGCCTGTGGGTCACTTGGCCTCTCTGCCCCTTCCTTGACTGGAACAGGAAGAGCGGGAGGTGGCTGCCTGGTCCCCAAACCCGGAGACAGGACCAGGAGGAACCTGCCAGCAGTTTCCTCCTCAGATGGACCCAGCAGGTCCTGCTCCCAGCTCTGGAGCCGGGCATGAACGGTCCTTCCTGAAAGATGCCCCTCAGTGAATTGTTCCCTAAAGATGTGTTACAGGCCGAAACAGGTTTGGCTCAGTGGATAGAGCGCTGGCCTGTGGGCCAAAAGGTCCCAGGTTCGATTCTGGTCAAGGGCATGTACTTTGGTTGTGGGCCATCCCCAGTGGGGGGTATACAGGAGGCAGCTGATCGATGTTTCTCTCCCATTGATGTTTCTAACTCTATCACTCTCCTTCTCTGTAAAAAAACCAATAAAATATATATTAAAAAAAAAAAAAAGATGTGTTACAGAACCAAGAAATACTGAGCACGCTTCCTAGAGAAAGGGAGGGGCCCCGTTTGTGAACACTAGTGGACTCTGGGAATCATTTCCAAGTCAGAGTGAAGAAACACGCAGAAGGCCTGTCTATATATTTCCTGCTTGGATCTTTTGCAGATATGGTTCTGCCCCATTTCGTGGGCTTACAGGTGTTGGGGTCCCTAGGCCATATCCAATGATCTGTAGTAGGGCCAGCAATAACGACCCCTACCCCAAGGGCAGTGCATTATTCAGTTCTTATGACCTGACACGCCTTGCAAGACCAGTTTCCTTCTCAGATGGACCCAGCAGGTCCTGCCCGGCCTGGCCCCGGGTCTCGTGTGTGAACTGACCTGCCTCACCTGCTGCCAGGCTCCCTCCTCTGGAGCAGCTCCTCCCAGTCTCCCCTCCAGAATTCTGTGCCTGCAGGTCAGCACCAGTGGCCCAGGTTCTAGCGCCACCCACTCCCAGAAGGGCCCCTTCCTGGCTCCTCCCTCTTTCCTTCCTGGGCCCGTCAGCCGAAGGGCCAGCAGTTCAAGTGCGAGACTCACTTTCCAGCTGCTGGACATGAAGGCTCCTAACTGTGTGCACATGGAGCAGTAGTTGCACTTTTCAGCAGAGGAATGAAGGCTGAGCAGTTAGCAGTGTTTCCCAAAGTGTGGTGCGCGTACCCCCAGGGGTACGGGAAGAGTTTGGTGGGGGTACGCGTTGCACTGGAGTTTGGTGGGGATATGCACTGCACCGTGCTTAGCTGTACCTAATTCTACCTTCTCATGAGTGCGAGGGGTACTCAGCGTTACAAAAATTATAGAAGGGGTACACATATGTCAAAAGTTTGGGAAACACTGAGTTAAGAGATTTGTTTGAAGCCGCATTGGGCTGAGAACCAGGCCTTCAGTCCCTGGGTCCTGGGCTCTCTGAGTGGCCCTGGGCAGACCCTGCCCCTCAGGGGGAGGGGGAGCAGCCCCCAGGGTCCAGCATGAGATGGCAGTAGAACCTGTTGGTTAGGAGAGGCATGGTAGCCTTGGCTAGTCTTGTTTTTATCATCTTCTTGGTCAGATCCCTTAGTCTGCCTTCCTCTCCTGAGCAGTCGCCAGGTCCTGAAGATCCCATCTTTGGTCCCTCCTTTTCCCTGATTCTGCACCCCCCTCTGGCTCCCACCGCCCCACCTGGGCTCCAGCACCAGCCCCGCCAGAGGAGCTTCCTGCTCTGGGACCCCTGCAGCCACCTTGGGCAGCAGCTTGGGAACCAAGCCCAGGGCCCAGCTCAGTTTGGGGCCAGAAGGGCTTGCCCAGGAGAGGGCCTGCTCCCCCAGGAGAAACAGCAGCAGATGGCTCAGGCAGCGGCCTCGGGAACCTGCAGCTCCAGAGGCAACAGACCTGATAGTCCCTGGACCCCGGGCAGACAGCTGCTCCTGCAGCCGGCCCATCTGTGCCACTGCTCAGAAAAGGCAGCTTTGTGGACTGCAGGGCCTGAAGCCAGGCCGGGGCGGTGGGTGGGATGACAGGAGTGGATCCAGCCCACACAGGGTGCTGCCCAGCCAGCTGGACTTTCCGCCAGGCCAGGTGCTCCTGTGGGCACGGCAGGTCTGCCTTCCGGAGCTCGCCGTATGGCAGTGCTGATTAAGAGGCCTTTTTTGTTCGGAGGAATTAAGTCTTCATCTAGAGCAGTGTTTCCCAAAGTGTGGTGCGCGTACCCCCAGGGGTACGGGAAGAGTTTGGTGGGGGTACGCGTTGCACCGGAGTTTGGTGGGGATATGCACTGCACCGTGCTTAGCTGTGCCTAATTCTACCTTCTCATGAGTGCGAGGGGTACTCAGCATTACAAAAATTATAGAAGGGGGTACACGTATGTCAAAAGCTTGGGAAACACTGATCTAGAGAATGCCACTCCAAGGACATGGAGGGACGGTGGCAGCCCATCACTCGTCTCCTCCAGGGAGCTGGCTTTTCCTCTTGCATCACCGCCTCTCTTTTACCCCCCACTTTCCACCCCCCTTCCTCGCACCCATGCTTGAGTGCAGAGCCTTGCAAAAGAGCCAGACCATCTTGTAGGTTTTGCAATGGCCACTATGATTATTGTCTTTTGCAGGAATTAGGCACATTGTTAACTAAAAGTAACATTGAGCCTTATTTTCCTTCTCACTCGCCACCGGGTGCGGAGGACTTTGCTGGGCTCTCTCCTGGCCGGCACCTCCTCGGTGCTGTGCTGGAAGGGAGCATCCTTCGCTGGCGCCGGGTCTCTAGGGCTCTCTGAGCGTCCGGAGACAGCACAGGGAGCACGGGAGGGGAGGGCTGGGGCTGGTATGTCCCCTGGGCCCAGCACACCAGCTGTTGGCGGTCTGGGAGAATAAGATGCAAACGCTACCAGTTCTTTCCTAACCCCGCGCAGCCGGAGCCAGTTGCTCATCGGCAACCTGCGAGTTGTTTCTGCTGCTACTTCCTCTGGGGCTCAGTAAGCCAGCTTCAGGCGGAGGTGGAGCAGGCAGAAAAGGGTGCCTGGGCAGCGCGTTCCCTCTGCAGCTAGCTTTTGTGGGGAGGAGCCTGGAGCCGAGACAGCGTTTCAGCAGTGGGCCTGGCCAGGAATTCTCCACTGAGCAGTGGCTGACCCTGTGAGGTTGTGACCCTGGTCTCTGTTCCAGACAGGAATTCCAGCCCTGGACCGGAGTCAAGCCATCGCGATCCACGAAGGCGAAGCCGACCACGGTGATCACAACCCACAGCTCGGGATGGGCCGGAGGCCCTGGGTCCGGCTTCCAGGTCAGCCTGAGCCAGCGCTGCTGGCCCTTCTCCCCACCCCCCCCACCCCCCCACCCCCCGCCCCAGATTAGGAACGCGGGGTCAGATGGCAGGGTGTAAACGGCACTATGGCTGGGGCAGCAGTGTCTGGGCGCCCAGTGGTCTCTCAATAAACAGAAACCCAAGGTCCTTTGCCCTGGCCGGGAGGTGTCCCCAGTGCAGTTTCTCTGGTGAGCAGGTGTCTGTCCTGCCCGAGTCCCAGTCTTACCTTTGATCGCTCGGCAGTAGTGACAGGCATTCGTGTGGGAATGGAAGGGAGGTGGGGACTGTTCAGCCCCCGATTCCATCCAGAGGCTTCAGGGAGCCAAATGGACGGTCATATGACTGTCTGACCTGTGCAGGGACCCCACCCACTGGAGGTCCCCCGGGGACCCTTCCAGTGAGTAGCTCCAACTCGCAGAGCACAGAGGGGCCGGAGAGGAGGGAACTTTGCCGGAGCTGGGGGAGGGGAAGGGAGGGAGACCCGCTGATCTGTGCCACCTCTCTCGCGTTTCAGGTCCCCGAGGTGAGGACGACGTTCAGTCCTAACCCCTCAGCCATCTTCCAGACGCCAGCTCCCCGGATCCTCCATGTGTGACTCCCGCCGAGCAGAGTGCCAGCGGCTGGAGATGGGGTGGGTCTGGGACGGCTCCCGCCTTCTCACTCCCCCAGCTGCCACCGGGCTGCAGGCCTGGCACGGAGGGACCTGGTACCTCTCAGCCCAACTCTGCACCTCAGCCATCCTCAGGAAGGGCGCGGAAGGCTCCAATCTTTTAATTGCCACCCTTATTTTTAAACCGGAAGAACTGGAGGATCAATTCTGTTGTGACTGAACTGGCCCAGGGGCGCCGAGGCATGTGGACAGCAGGTCCCTGCGAGCCAGTCATGCCTGCTGTGCTCCCGCTGCATGGTAACTTACCCCCGCAGTAACCCAACGCCACGTTCTCGGATGTTCCTACAAATGGTCCCACATGACCCAACTACAAGAAACCTTAGTTATCACCTGCATGTGATTCAGAATTACCAGGAAGAAGTTGCCAAAAGAAACTATCAATCACAGGGTTTCAATTTTAAAGACTTAGTTTCTTTATGGCCAAGATTACCCTTATGTTTTTTTTTTTTTTTTTTTATTGATTTCAGAGAGGAAGGGAGAGGGAAAGATAGAAACACTGATAATGAGAGAACATGATTGGCTTCCTCCTGCATACCCGCTACTGAGGATTGAGCCCACAACCCAGGCATGTGCCCCTGACAGAACTAAATCTGGGACCCTTTAGTCCACAGGCTAACGCTCTAGCCATTGAGCCAAACCGGCTAGAGCGACTCTTATGTTTTTAACAAAGAATTTCTTGGGATGAGTGCTTGATGTATTGAATGAACAAATGCCATTTACCTTGTGGAAGGTTGCTGAGCCCCACATTTTACTACTACTTCCAGTTTCCCCCTTAACATATTGATAACCAGAAGGGAACTACCATCCACACATGCTAAGAATTAAGAACTTTCTTTTTTAATTTTTAAATTTATTGGTTTTAGAGAAAGGGAGAAACATCGACTTGCTGTTCTACCCCTTTCATGCGATCGCTGGCTGTTTCTTGTATGTGCCCTGACAAGGCATCGAGCCTACAACTTGGACGTATTGGGATGATGGTCGACCAAGTGAGCTACCCAGCCATGGTTGGGAGCTTTAAAATTTTAACTTAATGTTATTTTTAAGATATATATTTGTATTGATTTCAGAGAGAGAGAGAGAAACATTAATGATGAGCATCACTGATCGACTGCCTCCTGCACGCCCCCTACTGGGAATGGAGCCCAAAACCTGGGCATGTGCCCTGAGTGGGAATTGAACTGTGACCTCCTCGCTCCTAGGTAGATGCTCAATCCCTGAGCCACACCGGAGGGAGCCTGTAGCTTTTTCTTTTTTTAATAAGACTGCAGTATTAGCTTCATTCCCTGGAAGTCCTTAAAGTGTCATCCACACCCGCCTTTATTCTCAAGCCTGCCCTCTACAGGGACAGGGAGCCCACTGCCTGCTGAGGCGGCAGCTCATCGTGTCTTTGGAAAACTCTTCCCTTTACAATTCCAGCCCAGCGGCCGTGGAGAACCCAGGCCCCCTCCGCACAGCAGCCCTTCCAAGCCCTGAAGGAGCTCACGTCCGCCTTCGGGATTGGAGGCACAGCCCAGGTCAGTTTGGTAAGAGGCGCAAAGATTCCCTTTGGATTTTTCTCTCCGGCCCGAGGGGACCCTAGTCTGGAGCACTTATTTAAGCCGCAGAGAGGTGACATTCGGGTCTCAGAAGCCCCTCCGTGTGGAGGTGGGGCTGTTTTAGCTCAGGCTGCAAAGGGCGTGACCCTCAGAGGTGCTGGCTCTGGTAGGATAGCTCTCCCCCCCATTCCAGCTCCCAGAATCATTTTAAAGGGAAAACCAAACCATCTGCTGACACACAGAGCTCCATTATTTCATACTTCATTGGTCTGCACATTAGATGTTTCTAAAAGCAGAACTGCCTGCTGGACATCCGGTGGGAAGTGAACAGATTAATGAGTTTCAGATTTTACTAAAACGCAAAAATAAGGTATTCTAATTTTTTGTTTATTTCTTTAATTTTAAATGAGCACCTTCTCCTAGTTTCCTTCATCCTCCTCTTAATGATAAGCACCTGAGTGTCTCCCGGCTGCAACTGACACCCCAAGGCTCACAGAGCCGAGAACCCTGCTTTGGCTGCAGTCCACGCCGTGTCACATCGGCCGCTCACAAAACCCACCACTGCGCCAGTTAGCTCCCCACGTGCCCCGCTCCCAGGAGGCTAGGGAACACTGTCTTTGAAGCCAGCGTTGGACTCAGATCTTGACTTCTCCACCCACCAGCTGGGAGCAGTCTAAGCTCCCGTTTCCTCATCTGCAAAGTGAGGCGAACCCTGACCGGGCTGAGTCTGGGTTTATGTGCAGGGGACTTAGGACAGGAAGCAGAGGGCAGCGTTGTAACGATTCTTTCCTACTCCAGCACCTGCCCCGTTTCTCAGAGCTGTTCTGCTCCACCTCCCCGAGGCCGCCAGCCCCTCCCACTGAGACCTGCCCTTCCCTCCCGGAGCCTGCCTCATGCCGGCTCACGTGCACGCCCAAAGACCTTTTTGGAATGCTCTAGAACGGGGCTTTCAAACGCCCCAACCTGACAACTTTCCTAACCAGACTTTATCAATTAGAAGGACATCTGGGTTCTGAAGGAACTTCCTCTCACTGGCTCTAGGTCTTACTCAGGCCTCACACTGTTACTGGAGTGGACTTAAGAACTAGCCACTGAGCCTGGCTGGCGTGGTTCAGTGTCTACCTATGAACCAGGTTAGGGTTCAATTCCCAGTCAGGGCACATGCCCAGGTTGCAGGCTCAGTCCTCAGTAGGGGGAATGCAAGAGGCGGGTGATCAACGATTCTCTCTCATCATTGATGTTTCCTCCCTTTCTGAAATAAAAAAAATACTTTTAAAAAAAAGTGGGGGGAAAAGGAGGGGGGCAATTGAGACAATAGTCTCAACCATGCTGTCCCAAATCACATATGTAACATACACTGACAAAGAAAAATGCATTGGGATGTTAATGGTAGTTATCCTTAAGATGCAGATTTACGGGCAAGTTTGAATTTTTTACTCATTTACTAAAGTTTCTATATAATAAGCACTTTTGTATTAATTCTGTAAAGAGAAAGGTTTTTGAAAATAAAGGACAGTTCAATCTGTGAGCTGACGTCAGCCAGAAGGAAGAGTTCCGTATTCCTGATTCCATAAGCACCGCCAGCCCTGCCGCCAGCGCCTCCACCAGCGGGAGGCGGCCCCGGGCCCCGCGGAGGGAAGCCCCGTGGTCCTTTCAGCTGGGCACTCAGAGCAAATCCTGCTCTGTGATGCTTCAAACTCAGAACCCACCTCAAACACGAATACTTACGGACCGGTAATAACGCCAGGATTGCAGGCCAAACTACGAAAAGCAGCTTGTGAGAAAGCCGTGGCCCTGCAGCCTGGCCGCGCCATTCCTCCATCCGCAGGAGGGAGCCTCGCAGCCCCTGCCCCCATCCCCCGGCCACTCAGCTCCCTGAAGGCCCGCACTAGTGAGGTCTCTCCCAAGAAAGCTCTGTACCTGCTGTCACAAGGCCGCCTCCCGGCCAAGGCGGGCTTTCCAGCCTTATCTCAGGAAGGGGGGGCAGAGTGGTCATTCTGGAACGTTCTGCATCTCTGTAGTTTTTAGCCATTATGCTAGCAGATGGCCATGCAGGACGGTCTCAGGAGTAACTTCAACACCTCAGTACAGACAGCCTCCTGCAGCCACGCCCGCAAGGTGAGGCAGAGTGCTCCCTCCCCACCGTGGCTGTGAGGAGGCTCGGAGCTCGTCAGCAGCTTTCCTTTGCCTCAGGCTGTCAGAAATCAGTGTGTCCTGTGTCAACATGGATCTTACAAGATTTTTTCAGACACGTGGCTGTTATCCTTTACCTTGCACAGATAGCCTCATGTTCTTTTTTTGGGAAGAAGAGGGAGAATTTAACACAAATACCTGTATCTTTGCCCACCCCTGGCTCTTTCTAACGTAATGTAAGAACAACTCGGCCACAGTGTGGCGATTCAAATTCAGAAAACCCATCACAAATACTAAAAGATTTATTGTAGGTATTGTTACACAATTATATTACACATTATGATACAAATACGGACATATGGGGGCTGTTAAATCATTTATGTTTCTGTTGCAAAAAGGTAATTTCCTTAGGCTTTCATCCCTGCAGTCCGTCTGTCTGTTCTCACCGGGATGAAACTCCGTCCTGTGGCTGTCAGTCCACTGCTGAGTGAACCCACGCACTTGCCCGTACCCCGTCCGTGGGTGACTAGCTGAGCCTTTACTGCCTATTTACCACCAAGCCAGGGCACCCTGGCCTTTCTGAACAGACGTCCTCCTGCATGTGCACTCCTCAGATGCTGAATAAAAGTGGGCAGATTTCTCACGGTGTCACCTCCCCACCTTCTTTTCCTGATGAACATCTGCCGGACTCAGGAAAACATGAATTACGCTGCCTAATAAGTTCTGCTGACCCTGACTCACAGGTTTAAACTGTCTTCGGGCAGCTTCCTGGCTGGGAATAAACTCATCACTTCCACAGACTGTTAGGAAGCCTGGGACCTTTAATGGAACTGGACGTCTTCAGGTACCGAGCTACCTTCCTCCTCGATTCTCCCTCCCACCTGCTCATGGACCGTCTTTTCTCACTGCTGAGCAGGCAGTCCTGTCTTTCGGCTTCAGCAGTCATTTCTCCACCTTTAAGGCACTCACAAGGGTTTCTTTGAAACACCTTTCTTCCTGCAAAAAACTTGACTGAGAAGGGGTCATGGAATCCACCGACAGGACATAGTCCTGGCGGGGCTGTCGCAGGAGCTGCTCCTGCTGGCCGTTCAGCCCGGTGACCCGAGAACGGTGGCACCAGCTCGTGCCTGTGTGAGACTGCGGGAGCCGGCACTGGTGGCATTGTTTGTTGGAAACACTGAGAGCTCCTGGTTACAGTGGAACCCTCCCAGACCAATGCCGGAATGTGTCTGCTCCTTGCCTGTGACCTGTCCTCCC